TGTAACTAAACTTGTGCTGTGATGATTATCTGTGCAGCCCGGGGAGGTTCAGCCGGGGCGAGGCGGGGGGAGCAGTGTGCTGCCTGCTCCCTTCCCGCAGAGTGTGCCGCTGCCTGCACCCTCGCTGCTGCCCAGGCTGGGCTGGCACCACGCTGCCCAGGCGATGGGAGGGATGCCGGGTCAGCAGGAGGGATGCCCAGCCAGTGGGAGGGATGCCGGGTCAGCAGGAGGGATGCCCGGCCAGTGGGAGGGATGCCTGGCCAGCGGGAGGGATGCCGGGTCGGCAGGAGGGATGCCGGGTCGGAGGGAGGGATGCTCAGACCAGCGGTGGGGACAGCTGGCCATGGCAGCGGGGAGAGGTTGGTTTGAACGGACCAGCTTGGCTGAGCTGCTGCGAAGGCAGAGCCTGTTGGGGTGTGTGTTTTGGGGCGGTTAACGCAGCCAGAGTTGAGCTTGATTTTTATTTGAAGTTAACTTCTTGACAACAAAATTAAAGGGTGCGTTTTAGATGATATAATCTCCTTCCCTCAGCTGGAAATCGAGTAGGAGCTTTGATACTTTCTGATGGTTGCTGCTGCTTGGTAAAAGCCGTCACTCGTTCAGCCGTGGGTCGGCTCCGGGGTGTTGGGTGCGTCCAGCCACGGCAGCGCCTGGGTCCCTGTCACGCTGAGCCTTCCTCTGCCCTCCCTCCTCCTGCTGACACAGCCCCGTGGGACGGTCACCCCGTGGGACGGTCACCCCGTGGGCGCTGTCAGGGCTCAGCCGGGGCATCGGTGGGGCTGTGGCTGCCGGGTCCAGAAGCAAGCACAGATTGTCTCCACAGGAACACGGTTCTTTCTACATGCTTTTATTTCTTCATCTCTTTGCAGTGACAAACACCCCCTTTCCCTCCCCCCGAGATCCGCTTCAGTTGATTTCCAACTGTTTCTTCTTCCTGAGGCCGTTATGACGGATGAATACATGGGCTACTTTGTCATAAAAAGTTAGATGTCTTCTAATCATTCAGTTCTTTGATCTGTCAGCGTTTATATTCATAGTCTCGAGGTGGGCTGCAACGCTACAGATCAGCGAACCATCTGTCTGGCGACAGAGATTTATATTGCTGTTTGTTTCTTTGGTGTGGAGGCGAGCGTCTGGGAGAGGAATCGTGCTCCCTCCAGTCTCCCTCTCCTCGCTGCGCTTAATCCGCAGGGGCTCTGATGAATGGGGTGCCCGGCGCTCCCGACGGAGCCGATGGCCAGTTCCTAGCATTTCCTGGGCATTTTTAATAAGGAGAAGGTGCAATTAGCTTGTGTGCGCGGTTGTGGCTGGCTGATTTATGCCCTGACACGGATAAATTATTTGCCAAGTCTGGCTTTGGAAACGATTAATTTTAACACGCGTTAAAGCTGTGCTTACAAAGCTCTGCATTTATGGCTGTTTGCTCCCGAGGCATCGTGCTGGCTGAGCCAGCGCTCGTAAATCCTCCTGCTCGCTCCTCAGCGCTCACCGTCCCCGTGGCAGGGTCTGTGGTCACCCCCCCCGTCTCCCCGCTCCCTCCTCGAGCCAGCGAGCGCGGCTGGGGAAGGCGGCCCCGCGT